CGAAGGCAGGCGATTTGGCCGAAGTGGTCATTGTCCCACCGGACGAGGAGATAAACTCGTCATCGCTTCTGGATGAAGCTGTCTTGGAGTACACCAAGAGGGTGCTGAACGCACGAGGTGGGTCGTCAATCCTACGGAATCCCTTGGATGCGTACTGTCCTTTGGTAAAGGAATTTCAAGACGTCGTCTCCAGAGACCCGCCCTTCGGTCCTACCTCCGGACCGAGGTGTGCACCATGAGATCGACCTGGTTCCGGAAATTAGATACTACGTAGCACGCCAATGACCCCTGCCCAAGAAGCAGTGCGACGTCATTGACACCTTTTTCCGTGCGAAGCACGACGCAGGGATAGTACGTGGGAGCAAGTCTCCCCATTCGACACCCACGTTTTGTGTTCAGAAGACGAACGGCAAGTGGCTTATCGTTCATGCGTACAATAAGCTCACCGCTGCCACCATTCCGGCACAGACGCCTATTCCTAGAAAGTATGTTCTTGAGAACAACATGGTGGGATGTACGAAGTACAGTGCAATCAACTTGGTCGATGGGTAATACCAATTGCAATTGCTCATGAGAGCGAGTGATATTCCGCTAACAGCAGTGAGCACTCTGAGCGGCATGCTCTGGGAATGGCTGGTGATGTCCCAAGAACTGTCAAATGCACCAGTAACATCTAATCGTCTTGTGACGCAATTGTTCAGGCCCCACAGGGCGTATGCACAGACACACTTTGACGACATTTTCGTTCATAGTCGTGCAAAGCGGGAGGACATATGAAGAGAACCACATCGTCCATCTTACATCGTCCATCTTAAAGTGGTGCTCGAGTGCATGCGCACGAACAAACTGTACGCCAATGCAGACAAGTGCATCGTTGGCGCAGAAGAGATTCCCATTTTAGGGTGATTCAATGAGAAGCGTGGCCCTCGAGCGGATCCCGCTTAGGTCAAGGCCACTGTAGACTGGCCAGTTCCAAAGAACCAAAAGGACTTGCGGAAGTGGCTTGAGCTCGCCATCTACTTGCACATATACAGCGTAAATTACGCAGAAATGGCCCGGCCATTATCCAATCTTCTTTAAAAAGGACGCGGAACTATGTTGGAACACCGAAGATCGGGAGGCTTCTGACGGGGTCAAAGGCAGCCTCCTGCATGCACCAAAACTGGCACTGCCATACCCTGATCGTCCTGTCAGCGTCGTCTGTGACGCTTCGGACTTTGCCATCGGCTGTGCACTGCTGCAAGCAGA